TAGAACCTATGTAGCCTTGAAATATAGCAAATTTGTTTATACTGATCTCAATTTTTTGGATTATGTAATTGTAGCTATTTGTCTGAATGGAATATAACCTATTAATGATAAAGAATTTGCTTGCAGTTAAGGGGATTTTGATAAAGGTAACTTTTACATAGTTAAATGAGAAATTAAAATTGAAATGACAGGTATTTTTTAAACATTGCAAATTATTAAAAATTTAAGTTATTAACAATTAAAATTGTTATAATTTTTACTAGAAAATATTTCTTATTGCTAGTCAAAAAATAAATTGTATAATATTACATTGTTACTTATGGAAGGTATAACTTGTGGATTGTTTCAAAATTTGATCAAAAAAACAGTATCAGCTATAAAAAAATAGAGAGAAAATAAAGAAGAAGCATATTATATGGATTACTAATATAATCAATTATCAATAGATTAACATATTTTGTAAGCATTTGAAATATCGATAATAAAAAATAAAAATAAAAATAATATGGAAAATCAAGTTATTTTAGAGAATATTGGCTATAGTGAGGAGTATATTAATATAGAAGCAAGCGAATGATCATGGGTTGAATAAATGAATCTATTTGAATTTAATAAAAGGAATTTTTTTTTATTAAAATAAAACTAGATTAATTTAAACATATTTAATTTAATTTAGTTAAATCAAAATAATTATAGTTTAAAATGCTTTGAAACAGGTTCAAAATATATCAAATCAGTTTCAAATTGATTTTGCAATAAATCAAATCAAATTGAATTGAATCAGATTAGATCAAACTGTTATAGTTTTGAATTAAATTGGATCAGTTTAAAATTAATCAGATCCATATCTGATTTGGATTTATAAAAATTGGATCAAATCGAATCTAATTAAAATCTGATCTGATTCAATTCATTGTGATTATTAAGTGGGAGGTCTTGAAAGTGATGGGAATTCTTATTTATTGTGATATCTTTCAACAACTTCTGGAGAAATAAATTCCTAACTGTAATCAAAAGATTGGAGCTTCGCATAGACTAGAGATTGTTCAGTCTTATTACTTAATCAAGATAAAAAGGAGATCTTGATATTAAACTTTGCCTAATCAGGATAATAGGAGAGAAAGATCTCAGCTTGAACAAATAGCAACTTTTTTATCATCTGAAAACTTGTTGCTTGTATCTTGTTGGTCTTATAGGACTTGATCTATAAGTTAACCTAATTGAAGAAGTGAGGTAAACATAAGGTACTAATCAACTCTTTCAATTACTAATAATATCATTGGAACATATAAGATGATCAGTAAGAATTTGTTTACATTCAACTACTAACATATTTTGTGTTCACCAATCATATTTTGCAATAGATCGTGTTATCTAAAATTCAAAGTCAAACTGAGGTAGATAAAATTTTTCAAAAAATCAAAAAAAAATTTTGTATAACCATAAGAGGAAAGAAACAGTAGGCAGATACTTTGAAAATATAACTTGATGTTTGTTACCTTCCATTATAAAAAATCTCTATAAATATACTTCAATATGAAAGGTTTTAAGTATTACACTATTGGTTCTTTTTTCTTGCAGAACTTTCTTGTCATAGATAGAGAAGGTGTTTCTTAACTTTTCTAGATCACAGGAAGTCAAGTTTTTGTTTGAAGATGAATATAAATAAGAAAGGGATTTATGAGTATCTCTTGAAGTAAAACTTCAAGTTGATTTAAGAATAGTGTTAAGATTTTATTAGCAAAAAAATAAAAAATTTCTTGCAAACATCTTTTTTGTATATGGGTAGAGAATAAGTTTTTTTAATAATAATTAATATTTTTTAAAAAAACTTTTTATAATATATATATATAGTATTATGGGAATAACTTTCCATAGTTAAAAATAGCATGACATTTTTGAATGGGAAAAGGAAAACAGTCTAATTAAAGAATACCTTTCACCTGATGAGTACTATAAGGCCATTCTATTATTAAGAAATAACAAGATGATGTATATAGATCAACTTATTGATAATGAGACAAATAAATTTAGAAAATGGTGAATATTTCAACTTATTCAAAAAACAGGAAAAGATCCCATTTTAGAATGGTTCTTAACTATAAACAAGATGCTCACCAAAAATCTTCTAAACCAGCTCATAGAATCTTGGGAAATAGATCAGACAAAATGGGAACCAGTATACCCTAAAGCAAGTGTCGATCAAGATAAAAGGCAAAAGATATGAGTAGTCAAAAAGGATCCTAACTATCAACTGTCTTGGGGAAAATTGGTACACAAAGGAACAAGAAATAAAGTAAAGATCTAACATTATAGCTGTTAGAACAATGAAAACAACTAGGAAACAAATTTGATAAAATGCTTAAGTTGTTTGGAAGGTTGTATTCAAAAAAACAACTGTATAATAGAAGAAGATATAAATAAGATATACATAATATTATATTTCAACACAAGAAAAGGTACCAAAAGAGCCCAGATGTTAACAATTCCAAGTCCCAAGATTTCATTAGAAAAAGTAATCAAAAGAGCAATACAAGATAATTGGGTTATAGTACAGAATTCTATCTTGCTACCCCATTTTCAGTGTATCAGAATGGACTATGTGGATATAGAAAATTAAAAAGAAATAATCATCAAAACAAGTGTTAAAGAGGGAATATATCAAAATCACTTATTAGAAATACTTTGGCATAATCAAGGATCCAATCAAAAGCTGACCTTTTATTCAGATGGCTCATTTGTTGATCATAGAAGTTATACAATGAAAATAAAAGCAGCATGAATTCAAATCAGTGAAACAGAAAAGAAAAGTAGATTTCAAATGGGAATAGATAATTGACCCTCATTAACAAGAGTGGAAATAATAGCAATAATCACAATACTCCTAGTAGTTCCAAGAGATAGCACAATTGAAATCTTTACAAATAGTCAAGCTTACATCTCTAAATGGATATTAATTAAGAAAGATGATTAAAAATGAATACATAAAAGATGACTAAAAGATAAAAACTGGTTATTATAGGTTCGAATGGTAGAGCTGGTCAAAAAGAAAAACTTAGATCTAAAGCTTACTAAGGTCAAGGCACATTTCAATAATCCTTATAATGATGAAGCAGATATTTTAGTCAAAGGAGTCCTCAACTTGCCCACAATAGAATGGAAGGATCTCATTTCTTATAAAATCCCTATAGAAATCAAGTGAAAAGACAAGACACTAGATGATCCCATAAGACAATTTATCAAAAAGATAAATAACAAGATCATGGTATATCAATGGATAACACAGAATAGAACTGAAAAGAAATGAAGTCATTAGATCAAAAAACAATAAGAATACATTTGGGATCTAACATGGAAAAGAATGAATAGACGTATATGAGATACATCTTTCAAAGACTTTTAGAGAAAGAGCTTTCTCATTAAATTAATGAGTAATGAGCTGCCAACCCTAAGTAAGTTGCAATAAGAAGGCCAGATCTGTATAAGCAAGTGAAATGTATTGCATATGGCCTCCATAAAGAAGAAATAATCGATCATCTGCTAAAATGTCCAGCTTACAAGGAACAGATACAAGAAACATGGAACAAAGGTCTCGAAGGGATTCTGAAAAACTTTAGAGAACTCCTACAAGAAAGGAAAAAGGAAGTGGCTGAGAAGAATATGAGACTAATAATAGAGAATAGGGAAGAATTGGAAGAAATAGATAAGTGGATATCTAGGCTGGTGGAACAAGTTTTGACAACTAGCCAAGATACATTGAGTTTCTTTATAGAATTGATAAGAATCAACTTTATTCTTGAGATGGCAGATCTTAGATACCATGGCAAAAAAATTGGAAAAGAAGTAAGAACATGGATAAAAAAGATGCAAAGTACAATATGCAATCAATTTCATAAGAGGATTTGGAACACAAGATGCGAAAAATCATAGAATGGAAAAGAACACAGGGAATCCAAAGAAATAATAAGATGAAAAGACCTCCAAGTCTTCCTGATCCAAAACCTAAAACTGCATCACCAGAAAGAAGAGGAGCTCCATTAATAGAAGAAGAAAGATTAGAAGATTAAGGTCTCACAGATATCTTATCAAAAGGGGTTAGATTTGGAATAAAATGGTTGGATTTTGAGTTTTATCAGAACTGCAAAGAGTGATCTGCAGCAGTGACCTGCAGGTGATGATATTAAAAGTTGGAAGGGTCTTCACCTGAACTTTTAATGGAGTGAAAAATCACTTCCAAAGTTGCATTTAGAGTAATTACTAAGACAAGTGAGCTAGTTAAAGTTTTAGCTTTAACAATTCATACTATATGTAAAGCACACATAACTAGCCTGACAGAGGGTTTAAAAAAAAAATATATATAGTATATATATATATATATAGTATATCCAGGGATGATATATTTTTTTTTATTATTATTTGAATTATCTTTTCAATTATAAAGTTTTATATTTATAGATTATCACCATAAATCTTCCAAAGTTTTAACAAATTAAAAATCCAATTATTTTTTATTCTTAATTATTCATCTCTTAATAATTTCTTTTAATATATATTATTATCGGGTTAAACGAGTGTTAGGTGTCATTGCTGGTTTATTAAAAGATAGGGTAACTGTCAATAACACCCAGTTAGTAAGAGGGCTAGAATCAAAAAAATTACCGAAAATGATGAATAGACAGACACAGAGTGTCCTGCTCCGCAGAATAGTTTTATGTATACAGCAATAACTGTATTTTTGTACCAATAAAAAAAGATTTTCTTGGCACCGGCGTTACGAAAAATAACGCGCATGTAATCTTTATTTTTTTAAATTGTTTCGAATATATATGCAGTAAATTGCGAGATTATAATTATTGACGACGGGCCGTCGTTGAAATTTTGAAATTTTGGACATGTGATTCTGATCGTCACATGACTTAGTGAATCCTATTTGGTGCATGCATATTTATACTACGCGTACCAATTTCGTGAATTCCATAATTTCGTGAATTCTATACCAAATGTCAAAAGAAAAACTTATTCCTTACTTTGATTATTTTGACGAATATACTGCTGATAGCTGGTCCTACTCAAGCTTTATCCGCTACGCTCTTGGCAAAAGGTTGCTTCCGCCTGACCCTATAGGAGTCTATAATAAGTACAAAAAGTGTCTGAATTTTATCGAACAAAATTACGATCCTTTGAAGCGCTCAAAGGCATTTTCACTAAAGAGGAGTTCAAGGTTAGTACATTTGTGTGCAAATGAGCACAACTTGCTACCAACACAGCTTGGCTTTCAGCCAGGTCAATACTATACGGAGTGCCCTCGCGCCACTCTGGGTTTCCTTGGCGTGTTGCTACTATTGTGTTCTATTAAACAAAGCATCGATACTATACGGGGTGCCCTCGCGCCACCCTGGGTTTCCTCGTCGCACGATTGATTGTTAATATATGTATATATTTTATTGAGACCAGTAATTAATTTCATCTTTATCTTGCGTTCATTTAATATTCCTTTTTGCACTTGACAAAAGAATGGAAGAAAAGTGGTTAGCCAACCTTAATGAATTAGCAAAAAATGAGGAGACCGCAGAGGTAAGTCAGGAATATAACATTAACTTTCTGGTATTGTGCTCTAATGATATGAATTATTTGCATAGTACGAGTATCATGCATCGCTAAATGAAGATGTAAGGAACGAGAAGATGATATACTCCAGCTACCTGTTAGAATCGCGGAAATTCAAGCACCAAATTGACAGAGAGGAAGATGTGACGTCAACTAAAAGGGTGAGTCTATTTCATGTATAGTTTGTAAATCAAATTAAATTGTGCAGATAACTGACATATTATATATGATGAAATCAGCGAAAAGATATAACTAATGTATCTCTTGAAGATGATGGTAGAATTAAAACTACCAACGTTGCGTATCCTGGAAAAAGTATGGATGATAGGTCAATATTAAAGTCAGCAGATTCGAAAATGAATCAAGAGAATCAGAGTTTGTGTTCGTTACCATCTGTTCCGTCTTCTAACATTAATTGCGAAGAAGGTAATAATGATAATTTTTTGACATTCCCGAAGGAATCTAAGGGACTAATTTGTGCACACTTCATATACATGTATAAGATGTCGTGCCTGAACATTACGATGCCAGGAAACGAACAAAAAATGTATATTCGTGGGAAGATGCAATTGACAGACAAGATTGATTTTAGAAATACCTCGAAGAAGGATGTGAGTAAATAATCTGGTTGCGTCTACTGTATATTTTCTTACTATACATATATCTTATATCTTTTCAGTGGATTTTTGAAAGTTACAATCTTTCCAATGAGCTCCGTAATTTTCAAAGACTGGCGATTCAACAGGTCAAGGAAAAACTGTATTTGTGTTACAAAAAAAATATTCATAAAATTCTGTAAGTATTACAAATCATGGATTTCTGTAGTTTTCAATATTATATTCATTATTTACATGACAAAAATAGATGCCTATCAAATATAATGCTGATTGAACGGGAAAAGCCAACATATTTGACTTGCGACTTGAAAATTTGGGATACAATTTGTCGAAGACAAACATCTTCGGGTTTATCATCAGTAATTATCAATATAATTGTAGAATATTCATCGGCAAAATTTAATCTTATTTACAGTTTTTGTGTTAAATTCAACACTCCTATACTAAGTATCTTATATTCTAGTTTTTAAATTCGTTTATGCCACTGGGTGAAATTGAAAAAAGATGGTGCGCAAATTTCTCCAGAGCTACGGAATTGAATGAAGAGGATAGAAGTAATTTTTGTAAATGTCAGATTATATTACGGAACTTGCAAGTCTCACATTTGTAGTTATACGTCAAATTACGAAATTGTAGGTGTTTCATCTGTAATTGTCAATTAATTCGATATTTTTTACAGTTTTTTGTTAAGCCCTATTAATAAAGATAATGAAGACACCTTTGTCCATAACACCTTACACTTGCTGAGTTTCAGGCAGGTACTTTGGATGAGTTAATCAAAAAGCATGAAAACAGGATCGGGATGATTTCTTTTGGTATATGGGTATGTGGTAAGTATGCAAATTTGGACCGACTTTTTAATGCATCTATTAACATTTGATTACATTCATAGGTGAGCGCATCCGCATCTACGAGATGAATTTAAATTATGATGGAATATATAGGATGATCTTGGTTGCAGATGTATGTGTCCCGACAGAACGGGAAAAAATTGTAAGCTTGGTGCCAGTTTTGGAAGCGTTTTATGATATTAAAGTAAGTAATCAAGAGTGGTAGCTGTTTATTACTTTTGATGCAAATCGTCAATAACCATTAACACCTTTCTTTTGTGGTTTAAGTGCCGTATTTCCGAAGTTTTGACGGTAATTGAATCTAACACCCCGCCTAGTTCTCCATCACGTTCTTCCTATGGCAGAGCGCCTACCCCTTCGCCAAAACCTGTCAGGGTTGTAATTACTGGTCTGCAACCAAATTGATTTTTGTATATAGTTTCTTATAAAATTATTCTCCATTTTTTTTATCAATTATCTTATGTACACGTGGTGAAAAAAGATCAAATGCAAATGATTTTAATAAAGTTTCACCGAAATTTTGAAGAAAGGACGCATTTTTGACCAACGTGACATCGTTTGAATTGGTTTTTTATTATATATTTCTTTTTCGCAACATTTGGCGACGGGCCGTCGCCGAAATTTTGATACTTTAGTCACGCATTTTAAACATATAATAAATATATACAATCTATCACTAAAACATGCAACCTGAGATTGATTCACTAAAGCAACGAATTTCTGAACTTGAAGCTGAAAAGGCTGAGCTCGAAGCCAAGAATGCCGAGCTTTTAAAACAGGTTATGGAAGAGAGCACCAAACGCGAAGCTGAGAATGTTGAGCTCAAAGCCAGGATCGCCAAATTGGAACAGACCGCAGAAGAAAATACTGAGCTTAAAGATAGAATCACGAAATTGGAACAGAAACAGACCCAGGCTATTACCAATGAAGGAGAAATATCTCCTACAAAAGATATTTCGCCACTTATCGAGAACCATTTTTATGAGGAGAATGGTGTTACCCATCCCTTGCCTGAAATAGAATATAGCTCAACCCAATCTGAATCTTCAATATCTACGACCTCTTTACCACGAGATATTATCGTCACTGACATGCCGGCTCACGTCGATGATGATTCAGCCGAGATCCTCGAATTTTTAGAAACAATACACAAGGAAAGGATTAGTAGTGAGATAAGAGAAAGAAACCGGGAAAAAAAACTCCAAGGATCACATAATAACTCAACTCTATCGTTACGATCCGAAGTATCAACCATGTCGACACCTGAATCTCTGGACTCGAAAACTGTGAAAAAGCTTTGGGATCAGAATCAAAATAAGAACCTGGACAAAACATCTCAATCGCACAAGAAAAAGGGAACAGAGAATATCGCTCAGGTGATAGCTGATGGGATTCAGGATGACATTATTTCAGATGAGTCGGAGGCTCGAAGCTTTGTTTCCTCAAATCATGTGACTGAAATTTCAGCGACGGCCCGTCGTCAAAATTCTGATACAATCTCATTACTCGACTTGGCACAATTATTTGATAAAGCAACAAATGCTGAATATTATGCTGCAAAAGCTAACCAGGAAGAAACCTTATGCTGGATTAACTATGGAAAAGAATTCGTAATTCAATATCAATATGCCATCGAACATGGAATGGACCCCGAGAAATTTTCAGTCATTACTGAGGCTGAGAAAAATAGATGGGCCATGGGGTGTCTTCCTGCCGACATGGAAAGAGATATACGCTTCTATCGTGGTGGAATAGAAAGGAAGGAAGATACTAGAAAATATCATAAATTTTTAACAGATCGGGAAAGACTAGTCGGTGAAGAGTTATAAGTACTACATGGATTGATGATCTTATGGAAGAATGGAAAAAAAACTTATAATCAATTCGTGCAAATTTTCTCTCCAGACGGAATCCGAGAATTCAACCGAGATAAATGTGAAAGCGTAAATCGGAGAGTCTGCCATTATTAAGTATATAGATTATTCGTGTTAGCTTATACAAAATTGAATCCTGTATTTAATTATACAGTATATTAACATGGCTAAGTCACAAAATAATAAATGAAAAACAATGGGCAAGTTCACCGATAATCTGTTTTTCCTCTTTGCCTTTCGGAAAAAAGATGTATATGTTAGCAGTATAGCGGAGCTAGTGTCTCAACACATATGTTGTCTGTTTTTTTCTGGCTTCGAGCGTGTCTTCTCACAGTTCCTGTTCGAAGTCACTTATATTTGTCTCACGGAGTGAGGATGCCACCGCATCTAAATTATTGGATAGGCTTCGTCCAGTGTTTCTAATGCATATAACAGTAAATTTCTGATCATGAACGTAGTGAATTATCGGGAGAAACATCTTTAAATTGTTTAGCGGGGTAGGGGTGAAAAAAATCGCGTGAACATTGTAGTTCTTATCTGATTATTGCCCAGTTCTTAACTGTTTTTTACATGGTTTTTATCTGATTAATAACCGATATCTATCTGGATTAAAATCAGATTTTTTTTTATAATATTATAAAATTTTCTAAAATGTTTAAGTCCAATAAACATCGAGTTCGAACATATCTCAATTCTAGTGCAATTCCATTAACTTCTGAAGCAATTGAAAAAAATAAGAGATGCTCACGAAAAACAAATACCAAATAGAAAAACGCGATATGTGCAGTTACTATATAATTTGGTAGTGAAAGATATGACGATATTGTAAATGGTCGAATATATCTTTATCCACCTAAAATAGATATAGAGCCTAATGATTCTTCTATTTTATTATCTCAATCGGAAACTGTCTCATGCCAATCAGAAATCTTTCCTATACGTAGTTCATCTAATATTAAAAGTATTAAAATGGCATAAAAAAAGACTAACAAAAAAAGAGACTCTCAAAACGAGAAATCCCTTAATGCTAACACATCTGAAGATACTGTATATCAGTGGAGTTGACACGATCAAAGACTATACCCGAGAGTGACTCACGGAGTGAGGATGCTATTACATCTATACAAACTAGAGTAGAGAATATAAAAAACAACTTCAAGCTGAATCTTCTGAAGATGTCTTGGATTTGTTTAAGAGAACTAATAACGATATAGAATCTGGTCGAGCTCTTATTCAACCTTAGTTTCATATCGTTCAAGCAAACTATTATAATATCCTATAATTTCTAGATTCGATTGAATGCTAGATAATAATGCTTTTTCAAGCTCTTTTATTCGATTTTCCATATTCTCATAATTTACATACTTCTTTTTAAGTCTTCCTCACTAGGCGAGCTAGATGCGATGGTAGATACTTGAGGAGATGAATTTTGTTTCTCTTTTGGTGGATCCAATGCTTCTGGAACCTTGCTAAAAGTTGGGATGATGTAAGACTTACCATGTACTGTAACTTACTTCATTCGGAATTGGTTTTTATTCGGGTCAAGAATACCTTGAACTTTTCGAATCCATGTCATACCTAAACATAACATTGGTTCGGATTCACCATTATCAATACGTGTAAAATTTCCAATAGTTGTGACATGTTTAGAGTTACCTTTTATATCAAAGTTAGATGGCTTGTCAGCTTTCCATCCCAGGACATTAATTGTTGCATCATTTAAGGCTCCAAATTCACTTCCAGGATCTAAGAAAGAATTAGAGATTGATATGTTATCTATTTTAGCATTCAGATATTGTAAAGATGAAAACCATTCATCTAATTTTGATTCTTCCTCCCGAACTGTATGAGACTGACACATTTTTCGCATTGCTGGGGAAAGCTTTGAAAATAATTCATTATATGTTTCTGGAGGTAATGTATTATTTATTGGTACCTGTTTTTTTTTTTTTTATTGTAGAACAATGAGCTCCGCTCTCTGATGATTCATACCATATATTTTCTTCTTCATTATATCCCTCCTCTTTATCTTCGTCATTTGCTAAATTAGAATATAAATTTATAGGTTTAAGAGGAGTAAAATGTGACCGATTAAAATTAGATTTTGCGATATTACCTTTACGTATATTTGGTTTTTGGAATTCTTCAGTTAACTGATTCATAGCTCCCCGAGTTTCATTAAGTCCTTCTTCTATTCTTCCTATTCTATCATTATGTGTCTTCTTTATATTATCACTACGATTTTTATATATTTCCAAAAATTCTAGTAATGGACCGTCTCTATATAATATATCATATAATTCTTTTAATAATAAAAGAACTATTAATTTCTTCCATATTTTTTGGTGGTATAGGTGGTGATATTTTCTTCGATTTTTGTTGTAATTTCTCTATTTCAGCTTTATGTTCAGCATCACGTTTTGATAGTTCAGCATCTCGTTTTTCCAGTTCAGATTTAAATTGGGTTAATGCATCATTAATTATTTTTTGCGGATCAGGAATAGATTCTTTTTTATTCACTCTGGTAATTGATATTTTCTTGCTAATCTAAGCCATCCGAATTTTTTCAATTTTTATTAGTCTTTTAGTTAAATCCCCAAAAGTCATATCTTCACCTATATCTTCAGCTTTTTCTAACCATTCTGGTACTAATCCATCTAAAAATTTCCTTCGCAAATCTTCATCTCCATATCCTAAAATTTTTCCAGCATGTTTTACTCTTCTAGCAAATTCTTCTACACTATTATCGCCTTGAACTAATGAACCATATATAAGTGCTCGTATTTCTTCTTCTATAGGTGGAGATTGTGTTTTTAATAACCATATAGCTTGATCAATTCTTATTCCTGCTACAACTACAGTTTGTCCGTTATTTGCATTAGGAGCATTGACAGCATCATTAGTTGGTCTTCCTCCTACAATATTCCAATCTTCATTCCATGGATCTGCTGCAGCTCTTAATGGTATCATTACATTTCCAGCTTGTCCATTTGCTCGATTTAATGCTTGATTACCTATTTGTACAGCTGTACGTCCTGCGACTAACTGCATAGTACCTTGCCCTGTATTATCTAACAAATTACTCAGTTCGAAATTTTGTTTAGTAGTAATGTTTTCATCAAACCATTCTAATAACCGTCCTCTCATACATCCACGTAATAACCCTTTTTTTTTTTTTTTTTACAATATCTCTTCCTGCTGGATTAGCTGCAGCATCCGCAATATCAATGCCACGTGCTTCTATTTCTGCTCTGAATTGAGCTAGAAATTCTTCCAAATTTTCATCTCCTGAATACGTCGGTAGTTGATTAGTTGCCATAACTCGATTTTGTTGATTATTATTTTGTAGTGCTAAATTTTGTTGTTGTAATTTAAAAATATTTTGATTTTGATTTAAAATTATTTGCCGTTCATCTTTCGTTTTATTCTTCCATTTTTCATATCTATCAAATATTCGGTCACGGTTATATTCTAATAATCCATTTATTTTCAGTACGATATGTAATTAATTGCCTTTTATATCGTTGCAACAATAAATATAATGTAAATTTATCCCGTTGTAAATTTATGGGCATTTCTATTCTTATCTTTATAGGAATAGTAGCACCGTTGACGTTCTTTTACTTCACCATTATATGCAGTAGTCATTAAGTTAAGATCTGCTTCTGTATTTCTTAACTCTGTTTGTCGTAAATCTCGTTCAGCTTCAGCATTATATCTTCGTTGTTGCTCATTTATAAGATCAGTCTGGAGATTATCATACTTGCGACGTATCTGTCTTGTTGCTCTTTTTATTTGATTGGATAAAATCGTTCTATTTGTTCTTGGATTATCTAAATATCCATCGATAGTATTAGCTAACTCAGCTATTGTTCCAATTTCTTCTGATATATTACTGCTAGAGGAATTTGCGATTCTTCACTTGAGCTTCGTGTTATATTTATTGTCATTAATTCATCGTATAAACGGCTTTGTCTTTCTCCTGGCTGGGATGCTTCTTCAAGACCTTCTATTCTCTGAAAATATGTATCGTCTAGTGATGACCCTGATAAAAAACTTGTTTCCGCTTCAGGCACTTCCAGCATATCATATAAATTCTGATTTGTTTCGTCTGCTGTTTGCAAAGCATTTTGTGTATTTCGCAGTTCATGTCCATCACGATAAAGTAATAATCTTATAGCGAAATTTTGACAATGAAGATCGGTAATACGCCTTTTTTGCCGGGCTATTTGATTATTCCTATCTGTAAGGTATTGTCGCAATGTTTGATTTTCATTACGAAGTTGCTCTATTGTATCAGTCATTTCTACTAACTGGTTATAAGAATTTCTTCCTGATGTAGATAGCTATTTGATTCGTATTTTGAGCTTTGATTCTCGTTCATCAAACTCAGCTAATTTATAGTCTTTAATAATAAGATCTTTATCTTTTTGCCGATTTTCTTTTCTGGCTTGATAAAGGGATTTTTTAAGGTCTGAAATCTCTTTTTGTAATTCTTTCTTGGCTAGAAAGAGATATAACACTTGAAAGTTCTTCTTCTAAGAATCGGATTCTTTCCTCACGTATGGCTATTTGCCTTTCAAGAGTATAGTTTACCTTCTCATATTCTCTGTTTGATTGGGCTAATCTCTCTAGCTCTTTACGTAATTCATCCATATAAAAGATTTTTTAGTTGATTATTTATACTCGAAAGGACCTGTGATCCTCAGAAGGCCCGTGATTTGGATAGAGAGATTGCATTACAAAAGCTATATTATAGACCAGAAGGGTACTATCGAACTGTAGAAAAAATGTTTAATGCTTGTAAAGAAGTTGGTTATAGTTTTTCGTTAACTGAGATAAAAAATTGGTTAAATAAACAAGCTATATGAAAGCTTCTTTATGGTAGTCCTCAATCTTGTTTTTGATAGTTTGTGGATCTGTAGCTATATATTCTATCCTCTCTTGATTCTTGGTTAACACTCGATCTAGTGTGATTTTTAATCTTTTGTGGTTCAAGATTGAGCTCAGTATCCATTTTTGGTTAAACTTGAGATCTTTACATTTGCTTTCTAAGGCTTTTTTAATTTGATTTCTGATGTGAAAACTTTCTTTCTTCTTATATATCATTCTGAGGCTATGCTCTATTTCATTAATCCTTGATAACAGCTTTAGAATTTCTTCTCATGATTGGAAAAAAGCTATTTCTTCTTCATCAATAGATTTATAAAACTTTCTTAGTTTTTGAATGGTCTTTTCTATATTTATTAGGATTCTTGTATCCCAATTGATTTGTATTTTCTTCAAAAGAAAGTGAATCTTGTTAACTTCCCTATAAACTTCAAAGTCATTCTTTGGGATTGCTGATCCAGGCTTTGCTTTTTTCTTTGTATTAGGAGTAAAGTAGATCATTTTCTTTTTAAGACGTTTATAAGTACTCTTGATGATTGTTAACTTGAAATAATGCCAGGCCTCTTCAAGTTCTTGAGGATCATTCTCCACTCTTGATCAAAAAGATTGTGAATCAGTTCTTGAAAATTTATTTTCTATTCAGAATTTAAATTTCTTCCATTATTCTACTATGAAATTTATTGGATCAGATATTTTCTTTTCTTTTGTTTTACATTGCTCTTGTACTTGATTCTTGAACAGATTATTTGTTGTCATTCTTGTCAGTAATAAAATATGATCCTTATTTGATAATGTTTCTATGGGAATATTTTTGAATTCATATATATTGTTTAAACTAATTTCTGGTAGTGTTCAGATATAGTCGATTTTACTATATAATATATTGTTCATCCATATTAAGGTAGTGTTTTCTTCTTTCCAAGAATTCTGGACATCTATGTAATTTCAATCTTCTAGGAAGTTGAAGAGACCTATTTAACTTTTCTATATCTTGGTATCCTTTTATTAGTATGTGACCAATCTACTATTGGATTGATAACTATATTAAAATCTTCTATAATTATAACCTTAAAGTGATTTTTTTACTTATCTAGGGTTTTGTTTTAAAGAAGTTGTTATTGCCATTTACTAACAATTTTCTCTAATGGCAGATATACTTAATAAATACAAAGCTTGTATATTATTAATAGAAAGTTGGCTTCTATTATATAGCTTTCTATTTTTTCAATAAATTTCAACTTTTTCTTAATATTTTATTAATAAGAAGTCCCACTCCAAATTCTCTGGATTTCTCATTATTGCTCCTATAAAAAAACTTGTGTACTTGTTGTAAAGTGAAAGTGAATTCTACTGTTTCATTTGTTAGATTAGTTTTACAGATGCCTAAGATATCTATGTTGAGTTCTTGTATAAGTTTATATAGTTTTTATTGATTTAAGCTAATATTAATTCCTCTAACATTATGTATTCTAATTGAAATAGTATCTGTTAATATAGAGTTATCTATAATATACTTGTTATATAGAATATGCTACTTTTTATTTCTATTACTAGTGTTTTTTTTTATTATACTGATGAAGTTATCTAGTAATGTGTCATATATTATATTAAAAGAGATTATGTTGATGTTTACTGTTTTCTTTAGGATTGCAACTTTTTTCCAGAATGAGTTTATTTTCTCTTGTGGATTAGACTTTCGCCTGATATACTTTGATTTAATTGATACTAATCTTAGGAGCAATTGTTCCATAGCTTTTCTCTTACTCTATTTTGATTATCTGTTTTCTTCTTGATTAGGTTTATTCTATTATTTAATTGTTTAAAGTTATTTAGGATTTGGTGAAGAAGATTTTGATCACTTTCACTTTTGGGATAAGAACTTTCAGATTTATTGTACAAGCTTTTACTTCTATTATGATAATTTATTGACTTCCTGTTACTACCAATATTAAAGTATTTGAAAGTCTTTATTGTTTCAATGATATGTTTATTGTTTTGAGAGTTGTATCTTCTTCTTTTTTTTCTTTGTTCTAGGTCTGTTTTTTTCTTAGAGTCACTTTCTATTTCTGAGTCTTTCTCAGATAATATGTACCAATTTGCCTTGATATTGTTTCTAATATTAGTTTGATCCAGTTTTCTTGAGTGCAGTTTGATTTTTGTTGTTTCAAAATGGACTTTTTCTTCATTATCATTACTGTTTTTAGTTTGAGCCCCTTCATTGCTTTGCATTGTTCCTTTTCCAAAGTGTTCCTTAGCACTTTAGCTAAATTTGTGACTATATATTAATATATATTGTCTCAAAGCCTTGTGCAAATTTTCTACTATTGTAAAACAAACTACTGCATATCCTTTTCTTTTTGGAGTGAATAGATTTCTTGATATATAACATGTTTTGGTTCTTGCATATTGTGTTGCTCTTGCTATGAGACTTGTGAAGGTATTGTGTATTTTATATATTCATAAAGACTGGCTATTACGATTTTTAAGAATAGTATTAATTTCATGATTATCTGGTTCATATTGAATGAAAATTGCTCTAATGGTATCTGTTTTAATATACTGTATATGAACTATCTATCCTCTAAGTCTTGTTAATTTGAAATAAGTCATACCTTGATTCTTCTTTGAGAGTAAGAGTAGTTATACAATAAATATGGATACTTAAGACCTTTCTATATTTTTGTAAGGCAACCATAATTTCTTAACAAGTATAGCTATAATCAAAATTAATTAGCATAATAACCACTGTCTTGTTTTCTTTTTTTGCTATTTCTTGTTTGAAGAACTTCTTTTATAGTGATAAGTAAGAAGTTTCATATTTTTCTACTTGTATAAGAATCAAGGTAAAGTTTTCTTCTTCTTTTTTATTAATCTTCTTTATACATTGTAAAGTATCTTCAACTTTCTTAAGGCAAAAGTTGTTCAAGCATTACCATTGAAAAAGTCTTTTTTTGAATAGTAGCATGTCTTTAGATAGACTTGATGCACCTTGGAGATAGACTATTCATTTCTTT